TCTCTGGGGTGCTCCACTTTAGATGAATCTGCATCCCTGTGCCTGCAATTGGAGAATTTCAGCAGCAGTGTCTGGTAGGGTCACACACGCGCTGTCCCCATCTTGCAGCACCTCTGGTGGTTACATAGCTGTGTGTGACTTAACTCTTCCCCCCCCACCCCCCATTGCTTCTCTATCACCCTTGGCTTGAGACTCAACAATGGGCAGTGTCTCCAAGTTTTGCCTTTATCTTAAGAATCAGATTTAGTAGTTAGCTACCTTTCTCTTCCCCATTTATTTTTCTTTAAAAACATTTTTGTTTCCTTTAGATTAAGTAAAAAGAAAAGGAGTACTTGTGGCACCTTAGAGACTAACCAATTTATTTGAGCATGAGCTTTCGTGAGCTACAGCTCACTTCATCGGAGCTGTAGCTCACGAAAGCTCATGCTCAAATAAATTGGTTAGTCTCTAAGGTGCCACAAGTACTCCTTTTCTTTTTGCGAATACAGACTAACACGGCTGTTACTCTGAAACCTTTAGATTAAGTATTATTTCTTATACCCTTTAGCATAGTGTAGATACCCTCCCTCATGGAAGAAACATTATTCTAAGGGGCATGCCTGGATCCCCTGATTTGAAATGCTGCCTAACTTTCCAGGAGTCAGTCCCAGTCTCTGACACACTTGCAATGTGTCCATTGTCTCAGTGAGACACACATTCTGCAAAAGTGCTCCCACTGCCATAATAAGATTCATGCACCAGAAAAATTGTAAACTAAAACTTCTCTTGGTGGAGAAGTCTCTGCCCAGTGTCTAATCCGGGATCACGGACCCCTTCTGGGCACTGCTCTCCAGCAGCGGCATCTGACAGACATTCACCACAACCCTCCCACAGAAAAGAGCACGCTGCTAATAAAGGTGGCAAAAAAAATGGACTAGGACTTCTTCTCAAGAATATGCTAAAAAGAGATGATCCCTGACCCAGATGCTATCAGTACCGAGCGCACCATGGCAGACTACTTCTGAAAAGGTCGGACCCTCTGGTACCGTGACAACCAAAGATCCTAAGCAGGCGGGCTCAGAAATTTACCATCCTTTCTTCAGCACTGCCAGAGCATCTCAAACATGCGGTGCAGCAGTCTGTGATGCCACCTTCTGCCTCTGTTGCACACAGCATGCAATCTTCAGTACCGACAACCACTGTGATTTCATCTGCCACAGTGGCCCTACTTGGATCCATGGATGGCATGCTGTCACCACTATTCTGAGCCTCCCAGTACCCACAGGGAAAGAGTGAGACATTCTCCATCACCTTCAATACCTGGGCTCTGAACCTCCGGATGAGGCACTTGGAGGACTGGAGGAGACTTCTGGTCAGGAGGTTACCCCAGCTACCAATTTTTTCCTCCTCTCCCCAGACAAAGGCATCCTGTCCTCACCACCCATGATGCGTGATGATTTTAAATAATTCCAAGAGCTGTTTAAGTGGATTGTGGACCCATTAGAAATACCATTGGAAGAAGCTGCAGTCTCTCAACACAAATTGTTGGACATTCTGCACACGTCAACTTCATCCAGCATTGTTCTCTCTATATCTGAGGTGCTCATGGACCTGGCCAAGACCATCTGGCAGAGCCCAGCAACAATTCCACCCACTTGTAAAAGAGTGGACAAAAATATTACATGCCCTCCAAGGGAATGGAATTTTTGTTTTCACACCCCACACCAAACTCTGGTGGTAGAGGCCATGAATGAATGGGACAGACAACATAACTCCAGATCCACTCCACATGATAAGGACTGGAAGCAATTAGATCTCTTTGGACATAAGGCCTACTCATCAGCAACCCTGCAATTCAGGATCACCAATTTGAGGCACGGATGGCCAAATACAACCACTTCAATTATTCAAAGATGTCTGAATGTATTGATTATCTGTCTGAGGACAAAAAAGGAGCAATTTAATGCAGTCATCTCGGAAAGCCACCGTCTAGCTTGAACAGCCTTACAGGCCTCTCTCAATTCGGCGGACACAGCAGCACAATCCGTCATCACAGCCATGGTCATGTGGCAATCTTCCTGGGTCTACCTCTCTGGTTTCCCCAAAGAGGTACAATCCACCCTAGAGGATGTCTCATTTGAGTAAATGAAACTGGTCACAGCTAAGACTGAGTCACTTCACACCCTAAAAGACCCAGGGCTCCTATTCCCATTATTTCTTAACCCAGGAAAAAAACCAGGATGGAAGACCATTCTCAAGCTAAGGACGTCCAGTAAATTTGTGAAGACCAAACAGTTCAGGATGGTCATGCTAGCAACAATAATCCCAGCACTAGAATAAGGACTGGTTTTTGATCTCTTGGTTGCCTTGATCTCCAGGATGCCTATTTTCACATTACAATACACCCTTCACGCAGAAGGTTTCTCAGATTTGTTCTGGGACAACCAATACACAGTAGACCCTTTCGGACTGTCTACGGCTCCCCGGGTGTTCTCCAAAGTTCTTGTGGTGGTGGCTCACCTCTGCAGAAAGGGGGTTGTAATATTCCCCTACCTGGATGACTGCTTACTCAAAGCCTCTACCTGAAAAGATGCCTTAGAAGCTACCCAAAAGACAATAGCTCTTTTCACATGACAAGGTCTACAAATAAAAAAGCAAAAATCAACGCTTATACCTGTACAGAGACTAGAATTCATTGGGACTTACCTTGATGCTCAGGAGGCCACAGCCTCTCTACCACCACACAGATTTGTCACTCTATTCAATCTGATCACTTCAACACAAACCAGCCCAAAGACATCAGCCAGGACCTGCCTTCAACTATTGGGCCATATGTCAGCAATGACATTTGTGGTGAAGTATACCAGGCTACACGTGCATTGCCTTCAAGGCTGGCTAAGGACAGTTTTACATTCTGCACAGACACAGTGTGACGTTGCACTCCACATGTTTTATGAAAATGTCTAAGTGTGAATATAATGTAACTGGAATATGCCTTATGCAAAAGGCCTCTTGTAAGGTATCATTACAAAGCTTATCTACTGAGTGTGTTCATCCTATTTCTATGAATGTATCATTCTTGTATCTGAAGCTAGAAATATGAAGTACTCTGAAGTCCTACTGTAATTATGCAAAGTGTGGGCCATTAATGGTGGTTTAGAATCTTGATGGCTCCCATTGACCAGGACAACTGGTTGTAAATGGCTCTGTTTACTTGTAAGGCTTCCTGTGTTTCTGTGAGTCAGGCTGGAAAGAATGGAGGCTTGGGGTCTCACAGGACCTGTGACCCAGTCACCTGGTACTGGAATCCATCTTAAACCTGGTGCTTTTCCATTTAGAAGGATCCAGAGAGATACAAGATTCCCACCTTGTGCCAAAGCTAACAAAGGGGGTTGCCAGTCATGAGAAATCCCCTAGTTGCCACCTGAGCTGGGACTAACAAGAACTGTACAGGAGAAAGGATTGGGCCCAGACTAAGAAGGAATCTTAGTCTGTGAAAGAAGCTTATTGGAACATCTGAGGGTGAGGTTTACCTGTATTCAGTTTCTTAAATGTATGAGGCTTAGACTTGCTTGTCTTGTTTTATTTTGCTTGGTAGGTAACTTTGTTCTGTCTGTTATTACTTAAAACCACTTAAATCCTACTTTTTTATACTTAAAATCACTTGTTTATTAATTAACCCAGAGTAAGTGATTAATACCTGGGGGAGCAAACAGCTGTACATATCTCTGTCAGTGTTCTAGAGGGAGGACAACTTGAGTTTACCTTTTATAAGCTTTATACAAAGTAAAATGGATTTATTTGGGGTTTGGATTCCATTGGGAGCTGGGTGTCTGGGTGCTGGAGATGGGAATACCTGCTGAGTGGTTTTCGGTTAAAGCCTGCAGCTTCGGGGTCGTGGTTCAGACCCTAGGTCTTTGTTGCAGCAGGCTTGCATGTCTGGCTCAACAAGACAGGGTTCTGGAGTCCCAAGCTGGGCATGGAAAATGGGCTCAGAGGTAGTTTCAGCAGGTCAGGTGACAGTCCCAAGGAGATCTCTGTGATCGAACCCATCACACACAGTATAAACAAGTGCCTTATGATGACAATCCAAATAAACTCTAAACCATGGACTCGACCACACAATGTTTGTGGAGCAGTTCTCTTCACACAGACCTCGTCTGTCAATGATACTTACAATGGATGTTTCTTTAATAGGTTGGGGGGCACACTTACACAATCACACAGGGCAGGTTGTCCCCCTCAGAATCTAAAACTACTGGAACTATGAGCAGTCTGCAAGGCACGCTCACACTTTCTGCCCATGATCAGGAACAAAACCATAAAAGTGTTGATGGATGACAATGCTTGTGTATTTTATATAAAGTAACAAGAAGGGGCACAATCGCACTCCCTATGCACAGAAGCAATGAGATTATGGAACTGGTGCATCATCTCCACACAACAACTCCACCTCCTACCAACCAGGATGCCAAAATGCCACTGTGTATGCATTGAGCAGAAAAGTCTCTCAGGGCCATAAGTGGAAAATAAACACCAAGGTATTACAGAGGACATTCAAATGCTGGGGTTCCCCAACTATAGACCTCTTCGCTACAATCCAAAATGCCAAGTGCCTACACTTTTGCTGAAGAGCAGGCTTGAGACCCCAATCTCTGGATGATGATTTATCATCAAATGGATGCACCTCTACTGCAGGCGTTTTTCCCCCAAGCCCTGTCCTATCCCTGGTCATACACAAGATAAGGACTGAAAAATCCAGAGTCATTTGATAGCTCTCACGTCAACAGATAAATGTGGTTCCCTAACTTGCTGAAGATGGCAGTGTGCCCACCATGTACTCTTTCCCTTCTTCCACATCTCCTGTCCCAGGATGCAGGCCAGGTCTGCCACCCAAATCTGGAAATATTCCACCTGAAGGCATGGTTACTCCATGGTTCCAAGGCAATGAAATGTCATGCTCAGGGGAGGTAAGGGCCATATTATTAAACAGCAGATAGTCTACTACATGATATACTTACCTGTACAAATGGAAGAGATTCCACATATGGTGCCAGAATGGACAGTGTTGACTCCTTCTTTACCAATGGTATTAGAACTCAAGAAATCAGGCCTCCGAGTACATCTTGTGGCAATCATGGCTTTCCATCAATGTTGACGAGTTCTCAATCTTCAGTCATGCTACCACTGAATAATTCATCAAAGGTGTTTGTAACGTTTATCACAAAATACAAGCCCCGTACTCCCCCATAGAACCTTAATCTAGAGCTACAATGCCTCACTGTATCCCATTTGAACCCTTCGTGATGTGTTCTCTTCTCCACCTCTCAGTGAAGGTGGCTGCTTTGTCACCATCACATCCATATGATGAGTCGGAGAACTTGGGGCTGTTGTGGCACACTCCCTTAAGAAATATACTTCAAAAACAAGCTAACTCTAAGGCCACATCCAAAATTTTACCTAAAATTAGTTTTCTCATTCCATCTCCTGTCGTTCTTCCCAAAACCTCATGGGAACAAACAAGAAATGATGTTCCACACCCTGGATGTCAGAAGGGCACTAGCATTTTACACTGAAAGAACTAAACTCTTCAGAAAGTCATCAAAGTTAGATCTTTCTGTCACAGAAAGATCCAAAGGAGCCGCCGTATCCAAGCAAAGGCTGTTAAAATGGATCTCTGAATGCATCGACCTTTGCACCACCAACAACTATAATCCCCACCTGGGCCCCCCGCACATGCCACCAGATCACTTTCTACATCAATAGCTTACCTCAAGAATGTACCCATCATGGACGTCTGCAAAGCAGCAACCTGGGTGTCAGCGCACACATTTAGAGCACCACAAAATAGAGTGGGACTTGACGTCAGATGCTGTGCTTGGAATTACTGTCTTATCCATCACAAATGCAACTCTGAAACCCCTTCCTTCCAATAAAGGGCACTGCTGTACAGTGACCTAAAGGAGGAGATGGGTCGGTGTCCCAAGCTCCCCAATAGCCCAGTGGTTAGAGCACTCACCTGGGATATGGGACACCCAGATTTGAAGCAGAGGCTTAGAGTATTCTGGGGAGAGGGGTGTCTCAATCTCTTCTGTCGGAGGATCAGGTTCAAGTCCCTGCTGCCATATCCCAGGCAAGTGTCCAAACCCCTGGACTATTGACTATAATGAAGTCTGTCTGTTCTGTCTTGCACTTTCTCTGCATCTTAGCCAGGCCAGCCCAAATTCCAGAAGAGGGCTCACAGTTGAGAATCTGGAGTGCAAGGAAACACCTCACTTCAGCCCAAAATGAGGTGCCTAATTACCTCAGAAGGCTCAGTCCTCTCCTTAGTATTTCCTATGGGCTACCTTAGACAGCTCCCTGCTGAGCTTGCTGGCTTCTCTGAACCCCTCTTCTAGGGATTCAATGCATGGGGAGCCTGTGTGCCTAATACAGAGCTATGGATTCCACTGGTGCTAAGTCACTTAGGTGCTATTGAAAATCTTATACTTGTCCGGAAGATTTTACAGCTTAAATAAACAAGATGGACAAAGTGTGGAAAAACATTATAGATGAAGAACTGAAGTACAGAGAGAGGAAGTGACTAGCTCAAAACCCATTAGTGGCTGTCTTAATACTTGCAAATAGCAAATAATATTCACAAAATAATGGTGAACCAAACTTTGGTATTTCATGAAACTGTTCACCAATTATTTTTTGTATTAGACTGCACATAGGACTGTTCAAATATCTATCTAACAGGAAGACTGTACCAGGCCTGGGAATTGAACTGATGAGAGTCATAGTCTAGGGCATTAGCCACAAGACCATCCAATCTCTTTAATAATTGGAATTGTTATTTTTGTATGCAAATTGCATCTTTTGGAGGCTACCATTGAACAAAAATCAGGTGTACTCTATTAATGACTGATTGCTTTTGTTCTAATTCCATCACACAACAATGGGATTTTATAGCAACAGCAAAGAGTTGGAAGTCAATGCTGTGAGTCTGTCCTGACCCAGAGGGTCAGGGTGGGGATGGGGCTGTGGCTGGGGGAGGTAAGGAGCACATTGAGCACCCACTAGACTGCTGCTGCTACTGAGCTTAAGTATTGTTCTGGTGACTCCTGCAGCCAGTCAGGTGGCTCAGTCAATCAGACTGCACATAAGTAGGACATGGATCTGAATTACTCCTGGTTTTGCAAGACAAAACCCAAGCTGATTAGATTTTTGCAAGACCAAAACCACCCTTTCAGTTCATACTTCATTTTAATTGAAAAAGAAGTTAGCTAAAACCAGAACCCAAAGTTCCTGAAATTGGAAGATTTGAAGAAAATGAGATCTGAATCTGAAACAACCCTGCTTTTGGACTGGCAAAACCAAAACATAACCAACACGAGGGAGGGGAAGTCTTCTCAGGAAAGATGGACTCAAGCCACAAAATTTGTTCCCCTTTTTTTTCTGAAGATACACAACATTTTTACTGGGGATAAAATGTGTTGTGTGCCTGAGATCTATTTAGATAGTTTGAATTATAACTGCTATTAAACTTGGCTGAATAACACAAGAAGTGATTTGTGAATATTTTCATGAACAATGGTACTGAGTGTGGTTCACCATTATTTTGGGGATAATATGATTTGCCAGTAGCAAGAAGACAGTTGCCAGCAATTTGTTAAAATGCTAATGACTCCTAAAGATTTTACAAATTTTAGCATAAGTAAATTTAATATGAATTTTTGGATGAATAAATTGCATTGCTCGGTGTTTAGATTAAATTTTCTAAGCAGGAGAATAATAATCAGACCAGGAACAATACCATGTGACCAATCACAAGCACAAAAGTAACACTTGAAGTCAACCCAACCTAAATTTGTTTGCATGAGTTATTTGGATGCTAACAAATAACAAATATATTTGCAGGAACTGAGATCAGCCTACAAATGGAGAGAGTGGGGAGTGCTAAATTTGCAATAAGTAGTTTGATCAGCGCTAACTACCGTGTGCACTGGTGCTAAGTAGCAGAACATCCAGGAAAAACGGATTCTTTTCTTTGTCACAGCTCCCTGATTGGTTCTAATTCAAAGGACTCTTACACACTTAAATCTTTTACTAACATATACTAATTTCCCACAGAAATGGATGAGCAAGATCTGCCAGATTTGACCCCCTAGGGGAAAAGTTCAAATTTCTACCTTTTCTGCTGGTGAATGGAAAAATACTTTTGCTTCACAAGTACTGATTTCATGTCAAAATCCCTAAAAGCATGGAATTTTAAACCCTCAGTCTTATTCAAAGAGGTCTTTCAACTTCAGTCTGAATCTACATCAGTGGTGACTCTGAATCCTCTGAAGGTCATTATGGAATGGCTACATCAGGGAAAATTAGGAGTTAAGTTTAGTTGGAACAAACAGAAGAAATGCTGCAAGTTGCATGGATTTTGTGATGTTCCTTTTACTCTGGGTGGTAGTTCCAAATAATGGAATTATGCTGGTATAATTATCCAGATATTATGGACCTGTATCTAGAGGTTTTCCATAACAAGATTTCTTAGAAAATCATTGATATAGTTTGTATCCACAACAAGTTTTGGTCACCGACACATCCACCCATTCAGCAATTTGGTAAATCTCCTATATACCCACCATTTGAAGAATAGGGATTAATATATTTAGCTTGTAAAACAATGCAGTCAGTCTCTGAATTGCAATAAAAATTTATACATTAACTATCATATATGCTAAATAGTTTGTAAATCAATTCCTTAAGCTATTAGACTAGAATTTTATCACCTACCACTTTGAAGGCTATCGGTAGTCTGATGTTGGTAGTGCAATCAGCTGCCAACTGGATTTGCTGGAGGAAGTTGAGAAGTGAATTCTCTAGCAGAGAGATTCCACTTTGGGGTGGAGAAGAAGCTTTAACTTGCAAACAGCTTCCAGAAATCCAGTAGAGGTATTTGGAGAAACCCCTTAATCGTTGATCCATAGAAGTCTGGAAACAACTATTCCAGCACAGATTGGAGTCGTAGCTTAGCTAGAATGTTGATGATTATAAATCTCTATTCTTCAGATGTGCACAGGACTAATAGGTAATTATGCTGCATGTTTGATGCATTCTGCACTATGTGCTGGAAACCCTGTACTAACTCCACACTTAAAAAAAAAAACCCTACTAGTTACAAAGGGGAAAACACTAGCAGCCTTCAAATATAAATAAATAAAATCCAGCATTTTAAACTCCTAAATGTATGTGACATATATTTATAGGTTAATAGTACCTTTGAGGACATAAAACTGTCAGTGATTAACAATATATTTATTTTTTACAAGAGCTGTTATAAAATTCACACATTTCTTATCTCCGAAATGATAATTAATCTGCTTGTGCACATTGCCTATCCCAAGACTTCTGCTGTGCAAAACTGGCATTTCTCATTAAAAATGAATCCTAGAGGCACTTTGTTTGTTTATTGTTTAGACTGTGAGAATTACAAACTTTTTTTTTCACTCCATGTGTTTTATAAATGTTAAATGTAAAAGAATAACACATTAATAATGCATTCTATATCACAAAAAAAGTAAAATTGCTGAATGGCACTTGTATAAGATGTATCCTCTTTTAAATCTTTATAACAAAGATATGTCCTAAAAGGAGAGAGAGTATAAGCTAGAAGTCAACTGATCCTCTTTTCATGTGCAATTCAGTTGTGCCTTTCTACAGTGCTTTAAGGGGTTATTTCAATAGCATTCTCGATGAGAAGGCTAGGAGTAACACAACTTTCAATTCTATCTTTGTTTGTTAAAATGCTGCCCGTGATAAAAGAACATTTGTATGTCTTTTATGCATCTCTTCCCTCATGTCACAGATAATTTTTTATTAATATAAACCCTGCCAAGAGGATTGGCTGTATCAGGAGTAGAGCAGTGAAATAATAACCTAATAAAATTCTACCAAGGCTGCTCTTGTCAGATGGCAAGTTGAGAGAACCAGTCGTTGTATTTTTGTCACACACTAATTCCTAAATTCAAGCACAGTTTTTTTGTTTAACTGTGCTAAGAACATAAAAACAGGCTTTAGCCATTCCATTGGGATAGTCTCTCTTTCTGTTAATTGATCAGAGAGTTGATCATGTCAGTAGTGCTCTACGTATATGCCTATAGCAGTTCTTCAGTATTTACACAATGATGAGGATTATGGTTAGTGAGGCTGCTGGTAGTTGTTTAAAATCAGCTGTCATATGAGTGAAATGAACAGTGTAATACACATCGGGAAGATTTGCTCTCCTCCCCACAACTACATCAGTGTTATGTAGGGGCCTCTTACATTTTCCTCCTCGTGTTCAGAATGGTGATGCTGCTACTACTACCATGTACATGGTATATAGCCTATACATAAACACATTAAGCAACATCTTGGCTTAATAAATACTGGGCTTCACAAGGATGACTGAAAGGTTCATGCTTGCATTTGGCCATTTGTTTACATTTCTAGCCAGATATTCATCAGAGGACTGGCCAATATGACGGTTAAAAAAAGTTTATCTGGAGCATTCCAAAAGAAATGGAAAGCTTTGAAATTTAGGAAGCACTTTGTATAAATACAAATTGTGTGATTCTAAACTTGCAACTATTTTATCAGTGAGGAATTTGAATGATTTTTTTTTCCCTCAAGGGGCAACGTGGGCCCTGATCCTGAACCTATAGAACCTTTCCGTTGACTTCACAGTGTGGTTTTGGTTAGGCCTTGGTTAGGCCTTTTAGGAATATCAGTAAACTCTTAAAAAACATACATATATAAAAAACTTTGGATGAAAACACAACCGAGATACATGAATCTGGAGAGCTAATGTGCACTAAGTCAAAGGTAAGAAAAATTAAGTTAAAGCTAACTCATGAAATGTGCTGAACCCTCTGTCTCTGGCCCAGCAAAGCTTCAGTGACTTCAGTAGGACTACTGGTGTTTAAGCATGTACTTAAATGCTTTGCTGGATCAGAACCACAGCAACTTGTAGAATCAAGCCCATGTTTATCTCCTTTTAGGAAAAATTGTTCATGGTGATCCTTACTGTGCTTTCAGCTTCTGATATCAGTATCTTTATGCTTTCCATTTACTACATTTCCATTTTAATAATCCCTCAATATTTCACAGAAGTAACAACCCTGCAAGCAGCAGAAAGACCACTTTCCTGGTGTTTCTCCTCTAGTGTTCAAATGTTGCATTTACTCTGGCAAAACCTGAAGGGAATTGTCTGCAGAATTATAGACTTTGACTACCACAGAAAATAAATGCCATGTTCTATGAGCAGGAACCAACAGGGTTTTTTTTTTCTTTTCATTTATTTGACCAAAGAGCCTCGTCAAGGAAAACTTAGTCTGCTCAAAAACTGACCAGCTTGTCTCAGCTTTGGCTTAAAAGAAAAGATTGTCTTTTGGAAAGAGAAATAATCATCTTTTTCTGATCAGAAGATTATTTAGTTTGGAGTGGACTGTTATCTCAGAATAAATGAGAAACAGCTAAAGTAGCTAAATGAAAACTCCAAGACAACTTTTGCTTTGTACCAAAAGTGATGAGAATATTATACAAATGGATGTATTTTCATTGACTCAATTTGATGGCGCTTCCAAGCTATGAAACAGCATAAATTCCCTGCTTATTTGATAGCCATCAAAGTCCCCACAAGGAAATACATTTTCAAATGCCTTTGAGTGTTAATGGTGTCCTTCATGTATGTGGGACCACAAAAAATACAGTGGATAAAACAAAAATGTCCTATTCCAGTTGTGTGTAATGAGTTCCTACTGCAAATAGTTGGCAGTTTATTTAAATCCTTTGCAGTTTGGGAGTGAATGAATGTGAATAATTGACAAAGTTGTTTGAATAGAATAACTGAAGATGGTGACAGTCTTAAAGTGTATCAAGATTCCTTTGCAATGGGATTCTAAAATGCGTAGCCTGCTTGGTTTCAAATGAAAGCTAACATCCTCCTCAATCATTCAGCAGGGAGGACAGTGTAATCCTCAAACTTCTTAGTGATTAAAGATTGGTTGGATCACTTCAAGCATCAACTTCATCATGTGATATCTTAAACTAACTAGCAAGCCATTGGCCTCTCCAAACCACCCTACCTGAACCAGAGGAGGCCATGCCATTTACTTGATAAAAGCGTCCCCTGTACCATACCTTAAACCACATGCACATTAGTTTGTAAAGTAAAATTTAATGAATTCCTTTTTAAAATGCCCAGTGGAAAATCAAATCCTTCAGTTCAGTTTCCAGAAAAGAGGAAAATTATCCTTGAACTATTTAATTTAAAAAGCACAAAAAAAAAAAAATTGGTCACATCCCAAACAGTTACTCAAATATAAACGTCTGGAACTGTTTTAGTAGATTAGACTCTAATCCTTCTTCCCTAAAGTGGAAATGTTATTTGGTTAGGCTAATTAAGACTGGATTTCTGACACACAGTATTAGTTTAGAGTGTAGTTTCCTAAAGGGTGAAGAAGGTGCCAACATAGAAACAACTCTATTTTATTCTCATTATTAAAAATAGAAACAAGGAGAGAAGTTCTAAATTTAGCACCAAAACTGTCTGTTGAATTGAATTTGCCTTCAAAAGCAAGATTAAATGTTTAGTAAGTAGGCTATTTCTGCAATGAATGAGCTGAAAATCAATATCCTTCAATAAGCTTTTGCCCTGCATGAATAGAGCCTGATCACAACTGCCTGTTTTTAGTTAAGACCTGTTTTTTAGCAACTTCTGCTTCGAGAATAAAACTAATAATAGCAATGAGATACCACTACACCCCAAAACACAGGTTTAACTACATAGAATGTTCTCTGAATCCGGGAACCATCTGTATTCTTCTTAAATTATAGAATACAGAAATAAATTAATCCCTCAGTGTTTTGACATCACATTAGAGAAATATTCAGCTTGGGAACTTATACTAACCAAAAAAACAAATATGAATGTAGTTACTTCACTTTAATATTACACAATCTGGCTTATGGGAAGTAAGTCATTCCTACCGTATCATAATTCTCTTGTTCTTGCCAGCCACACTTCTATGGGTAGATATTTGGTTTTTCTACCATATTGATAAAATACATTTGTTAGGGTGAGGTTGCAAGGATTTTAAAGAGGTAATCTGTCTTTGATTAATTTCTTCTAAACATTCATTCGTTCACTGCTGATGTGGGCTGGAAACATACCATTTACTTGGATCTGAAAGACTCTGATCCCATTACAAATTTCCTGAACTATTTGTTTCGTGGTGTTTATTTTAAATAATTTTATCTGATGTCTCCATTACCAAGGATTGAGGTACAGGTGCTGGAGATCTGAGTTCTTGAATTATGCTTATGTCACAAATGAAAATAAATTTGATAGTTTCATCCTAGGCTCCATTTATCACAGAAATATGATCTCCACATATCAGAGAAATGCCATGCAGTTAGGCATGACTGGCAGTCCTCTGCTCAAGAAAGACCCAAGACTGAAGTATCAGGGATGTTGCAGGTTAGAATCAAGATGCACTGGTAAAAACAGCGGGACAGTTTACATCTACACTAACGTGAACTATGAGTCCTGCTTCTATTGTACTCACTGGAAAAAACTCCTATTGGCTTTCATAGCGCATGGCCAGGCATAGTGCCTGATCCTGCTAGTTCGATTAGCACTGAAAACACTGACAAATTTAAAAAAATAACAAAAGGGAAAGGATCCTGCCTCATTGGCTGGCAAAAAAAAAAAAAGATGTGCTGGTAGTTCATAAAGGAATGAGAGATCGCTCAAAGTGAAGAGGTTGGCTTCATCGGGGGTTGGCTAAACTGGGTCCTATGTGAGCACTACGGATGAACCCAGTGATTTTCCTGATTTTCTTATTCATATGGCATGAACTCAAAATGCTGCTTTTTTTTTTTGTTTGATTTCAGGTTGTCATGTATTTGAAGTGTGTTACAGACTTATTAAAATTTCAACTTATTTCCAGAAAAGACAAATTTCATCACTGGCAAGGAGTGTTCATTTTGTGTTTAAAATTTCATGTAATTCTGCATTGAACTTCTATACAGCTTACAAAAGTAAGATATTCTATCTACCACATTTATTTTTCAACTCCCCAAATTAAGGCAATCTATACAGAAATATTCATTTATTAGCAACTGGTGTTTGACAGTTTATTTCATGTAAGCCTCCAGCTTTCTTTGGCAAGCTTATTTGCATAATGTGTTATTATGTCTAAATGGAAAACTAAATGCCTCCATGTGGTCTTTAAATGACAAGTGCTTGTCAGCTTCATGCAATATTCAGAAGTAATAGATCCAAATCACAACAGCACTCACTGAGATGTTTAAAAAAAACTTCTTGTGTATCCTTCCTTGACAAATTTACACTTTGGTACAGAATTGTCAATTAGAGTTTCCATGTGTTAAACAGTTCAGTTCAACTGTGAAGGAATTTACTGTAGCTTTATTCTGCAGTGCTTTGAGTAATTACAATTCACACTCTTTCTTTCTTTCTTTCTTTCAGGCAATGCAGCTCAGGGAATAATCTTCAGATGACCTTGTCAAGATATAGCCAAGAACTTTGGCTTTAATTATTTTTGAAAACAAGAATGCTCCATGACAATGGTTATGAGATCCCTGAAATATCTCTTATGAAGTTCACATTTTAAATAGTCCTTGGGTATGAAATTTTAAAACTTACACATCTATGTATTGAACTCTGATTTCTTAAAATAGAAAACTGGCATTTTGTATATTGTTTCAGGTTACCAAGGGCTTCATAAATAAAAGGAGGTTTACATTAGTATTGATTCTTAGTCATCTCTATTGCACATGTGTCCTGGGTATCTACAGAGTATTAACTACTCTCATAAAGTCCTGCCTTAAACTTCCACCATGTACTAAGCACATTGTAAATCCTGAAATGGAGTCCTTAGGTTGGTGGTGGCTTTTTTTTTTTTTTGGTTGTTTTAAAATCTGGGGGTATGGGGTATCTGTTGTGTTGATAAGGGAGGTTGAAGGTTGTCTAGGGAGATGTTAATGAAGTTGTTGTTCACTGTTACAACACTAAACAGTTAAGTGTGGTCCAGGGTTTTGTGTCAAGTTATGCCAGCTTATTTCCATCGTAACAACCACCGTTAATTTTTTAAATTTATTAAAGATACAGAAAAAGAAGAAAAGTAAAATATTAAGTAAGACTTTCAATTCAATGGCATTCCTTATTCCCTTTTCCTTTTTGTTGTTTAACATCTTTTGTCGGGGGAAACCTGCTGTTTGACAGGCTTTTTTAGATGGTATCAAAGATACTCTTTTATTTTGGGGGTAAAGTGAAAATGTTACTTGAGATGATCTGGAGCTCATCTAGTACAGTTGTTGCTGATGCTGATCCTCCCTTTTTTTTAAAAAAAGACAAAACCAAAGAAACACACAAAAAGACAAAAAGGCAAAAAGAAGAACAGCAAAGAGTAAATGCAGCTTCTAGCCCTGGTGCTGACTCTCACTTGCAACCTTGCTGCTAGAGAAACATTGACACTCAGCACATGGTCTTATCAGCCATTCTGAGACCTAGTAAACTTGTACCAGAGTGTTGCTTTAGCTTCCTCTTGGTCAGAGGCTTACAGCAGTGTTGTAAAGGTGGGCTTGTCTTGGGTGGCTCAACCACATTCTTATTACATGGAATACAAAAGAAGAGAGAGTGGAAAGAGGAGAAATAAGGTAGGGGGTGTTTTTGGACATTTATCTGGAGGTCACTAAATGGGAGGCGTTGGGGAGAATAAGAACCCTATCCTTATATCCCAAGTGTTCAGGATTTGGCCAAAGCCAGTGGAGGGGGTGATGTCAACAGTTTCCTCTTTCTTGCCTGGTCTAGTTAGGATGCCTTTCAGGATCAGGATGGCAAAGGCCTATTGGAGTCATGGTGGATCCGAGGGTCCCAGGAGATGGTGGGGATGTCAGTCATGATAGTAAAGCTTGCTGTGTCCAATCTTGTCACCCCTTTTCCATTTAGGTTGTGACCCTTTCCTGGATATTGCTTGTCTGAGGGTCACTAATCTCACTAACATTAACCATTCCAGACACATTTTGGTGCTTTCAATTATGAATATTTCTTCCCATTTCTAGAATCTTTCAGCTCATTGCCATGCCAACCTATGACTTTACCTGCCTTACAGAACTCTTCTTGCAAGTCCCTTTAACCTAAGCAGTCCACTTTGTACCCATCTGTTTGTCTTCAGCTTTCCTTGATGTTCATAAAAAATGTTATGTTACTTTGGACAACTTAGAGTAAGGCCTCTGCACAACAAATTGTCCAGTGATAACCCGTCCCCGTCCCCACCAACATCTATCTATCATTTTAAGCATAAAGAAAACCTGGCTTCTGTTTGTGGTATGTACAGTAGTTGTGGAAATGAATTGGTAACCTTTCTGTTTGTTGAGAGTGTTGTGCATTATCACCAGGAGCATGGCTTGAGACATGACACTTAGACTGAGCAAGGTGCCCAGTTGTGATACACTAAAAGAGACAGAAGACACAGGAGTTGCAAGCTGAGCCTCCGCAAGATAGCTACTTGTGTTCTGCATTTTGTGTAAACTTTTAAGGCTGAAAATGTGCAGTCGCCTTTTTTCTCAGTGAAAATCTGTCCAACACTTTTAATTGGTCCTCAAATTCAAATCTTAAGGCTGAGTACCATGTTGGCTGACTTACTCTGCACCCTCTCTCTTCTCTAAGATAGATGTTTAAGATGACACTTCTTGTTTTCAGGACAGGCAAGGCAATGTTGACAAGAAACCAGAAGACTCTCCCAAACCTGAATGAATGGGACTCATTCCGATGCTGCATTCATTCTGTATGTTAACTTGTGAAAGGAAATTAAATCTGATGGTTTCATCTGACTCATCAACTTATTAACCCCAACCCCTTTCCTTGCATAACCGCAGTGTAGTCAATGCCTTGCTAGGAGATTCTGCATTTGAAAAGTCTTTCGTTCAGAGTAATGTGTCTCTACTTCATTTGTTCCAAAGACCTGTTCATGAATCTGGAAGTGATCTTCCCAAGAGACCAAAACTGATAGTTCTTGGGATTTCTTATTTTCATGGGATTTTTTTTCTGCTTTCTCATGTCACATTTTTTTAATACATATTTCTTATCATACACAAACACTGTATGGAAATACATTTTACTGTGGAAATAAGTATTCTACTTTAAGCTTTCATTAGGACAGTTCTTTAACGGAATCAAAAGCAACTTGAACCCTCTTTGGTAGCTTTCCAGTGATCATTTACATACTACACAATTGACCTGTGCTAGCAAGAACACCCTTCGCACCATTTGACAAGCTCTGATGCAAAACCTACCCATTGCACAATACAATTAATTAATAGGGAAGCCTATCAGAGTATGTATATAATGCATCTGGGAGCGAGCCTCCCAGCCCAGTCCACAGACTCACGACCGTGCACTAAAAATAGCTGTGTAGATGTACCAACTCAGGCAGAGCTTGGGCTCTCAAGCACATCCCATCCCCCGGGTTTGAGAATTCAAGCTCTAGTCTGAGTCAGTATGTCAAATGTCTACACAGCTATTTTTAGTTTGCTAGCCCTAGCCCCAGTAACATAAATCTGTGACTGGCAGACACATTGCATCTGGGGGTGAAAGACAAATGCTAAGTCTTCAAGTACAATACTTTCATTAAAGAGCTGAATAAAGATCCGGTCTGAAAGGCAACAGTGTGATAAAATGTGAAATTCCTGAGGGCTTGCAGCAACAGGCACAGATTCTGTGCTAGATTCTGCAGTGCATGGCTGAAAACCAAGTGATGGTTGATGGAGCCGAGTGTTTTTTAGAACTAGAGCTTGGTGTGTTTTCAAAACTGGTTGGTAATCTATTTAACAAGCTTTGTTTTGCAGCTTTCTGTCAGGGTTGGGAGCACACCTGGAGGGTTGTGAGTTATTGTTAATGAGGGACAGACCTGAATCTGGTGTAACAGTGAATCCACTAAAAAGGAAGACTGCAAACAGGCAATTCCCTGAGGGAGTTCAGAGAGGCAATATAAAATAATGGAATCGTTCAGCAGTTTTATTAAAAAAGAATAAAGTCCTGAGTTCTGACTACTCTAGGGTATTTTGCCAAAAACTCCAGCCAGTGCAACCAGTGATTTAATTGAGACTAGTGCTAAAATCCCTGGCAACCTTATTGTAGACAATGAAGCTAATTAAACTCACATTTATGAATTGTTTTGGTCACCCCAAATCTGTGTTATTTGGCAAAGAAAAAAAAAGGCTTTGCATGAAAACTTTCATCCAGCTATTCTAGTGACCACTGGGCATGGATCTTTACCTTCCCAAAGGCATTCTCTTTTCTGCCTCCTAAGCAGCCACTCTTTGTTATCTGTGGCGTGTGGCTGTATAGTTTCTATTCCTTGAGAGAATTCAAACAGCCAAAATCCACAGATAACCAAACGATTTGTTCCCATAAAGTATTCATTGAACATTTTGTGAATAACAAACATGTTAATAAGAAAACTCCAGTACTAGTTAGCGAATAATTCACAAATGGCAATAAGGGTTCAGTTTGTGGGAGAATTTATTCACAATGAATAATTCAATCTGCTCTAGCTAACTGTACATTAACTTCTGTGAGTGGATCTGAAAATTTGAAGTCTGGGACTTTATATTCAGTAATGTCAAGAAAATTCTGCATGCCAAGTGGCATCTTAAATCGCCTCTTTGGCTGTAGTTTCTCAAAATAATGCACAGCATCAAGTCCATATGTTGTTTAGCTTTCTCTGTTTTTTTTTTTTAAGTTTGTTCAAAAATAAATAAATTAAGATTTATAGTTTCATCTTAATGTGCAATGATTTATATGTTCAACTCCCTGTGCATCAAAATGAGAATTAAACCCCCTGGTGTCTGAAACTGTGTACAGTTGCATCAGAAAGCTTTTTATTTCTGGTAATCTACCCCTGCTGAAAGAATAGATTTAATTATCTGAAGAGATTGCAATCAGAATAGATCTTAAGGTAAAAGAAAAGTAGCTAGCAATATGAAATTTTAAAAGCATTACTATTAATTTTTTATCCTATTACAGAAAAGGGTTTTTTTTTAAATAAAAAAAATCACCCTTCTTATGATAACCTTATTTAAGATTAATTATGCATCTAGAACTCTCAATGAAGGATGCAACATTCAAGGAAACCATGTTGAGTTCCAGTAATTTCTAAAGTCCAGTGATATTAAAATGAAATGGGACCCTCAAGCCAACTTTGGGGATGGGCAATTATGACACATTACTGTATGAATCACACACTGTGATTAAACTGATAGGAGGTACTCAGCATTAGCACTTGGTTTGAAAGGGGCACTGATTACCATTTGTACTATGCATTTTGGTAATCAGACATCATTTTAGAAAATACTACATTAACTGAACAAATATCCCCCTAGCTGCACTAAATTTACTGATCTTACCCCCCCCACACAACTAACGTTATGCATGTAAAATTACGTTTTCCTACATGGTATTAGCACTTGATCAGGTACTTAGCTCACCAAATCAGTGTTCTGTCAGAGGAAAGCAGGACCATTGTATTACAGAACAAATACTTTAAAATACCTCCAATCTAATTTTTTAACTTTGATTTTGAGATTGGCTGCAACCACACTTTATCAATCAACAGTCACTTGTGATTCATAAAACTAGTTTTATCCTCTCGTATGGTTAACAGGAAGTGGCATTATCCACTTTAGAACTCCTGACTTATTTCTACTAAATTGCTGTTGATCAGCTTTCAGGAATTCATTTTGTGG